GGTGCTCAAGTATTTTATAAATTCTGGATATAAGTCCCTTATCTCATATGTCATTACCAAATACTTTTTCCCAGTCTGTGGCTTCCCTTTTTACCCTGTTGGAGAAGTTTTTGGATGTGCACAGGGATTTAATTCTTAGAAGATCCCATTCATCTACTTTATCTTCTCCTGGTTGTAGGTTTTTCAGGATACTTGGTAGACTGTTTATGTTGTGGATTAGGACTTCTAGCATTGTTCCTAGCTTTTCTGTAATGAAATTTATAGTCCTTGGTTTTAGTCCTAGGTCCATGATCCACCTTGAGTTGGTTTTTGTATATGGAGTGAAGTGTGAGTCTTGCTTGAATCTTTTGCAGATACTTTTCCAATTTTGCCAACACCAGGTGATAAAAAGGCTGTCGTTTCCCCACTTAACTGATTTCATCTCCGTGTCAAAAATCAGTTGACACAGATAGATAGATGGGCTGATCTCCAGTATCTCAATTCTATTCCATTGATCTATGTGTCTGTCATTGTACCAGTACCATGCTGTCTTTAACACCACGGCAGTGTAGTAGGATTTGAAATTAGGGAGTTATATATCTCCTACCTTTTTCTATTTTTAAGGAATGCTTTGCTTATTTGGGGCTTCTTTCCATTCCAAACGAAACTTGAGATTGTCTTTTCCATCTCTTTGAAGAACGGGATTGGTATATGTGTTGGGATTGCATTAAACATGTAAATTGCCTTTGGTAGTATTGCCGTTTTCACAGTATTGAGTCTTCCTATCCATGAGCAAGGAATATTCTTCCACTTCTCAAGGTCTCTCTTTTTTCTTGTAGTAATGTTTTGTAATTTCCTTTGAATATATAGATCCTTTGTACTTCTCGTTAAATTTATTCCCACATATTTAATCTTGTGATTAGCTATTGTGAAGGGTATTGTTTTTCTTAGTTCCGGCTCTGTATTCTCTTTGTCACGGTAGAGAAATCCAACTGATTTTTGTATGTTGATCTTGTATCCTGCCACTTTGCTAAATTCGTCCACTGTGTCCAGTTGGAGAATTCTTAAATTACTTCTTCTTGGCACCGATTACTGTTGGAAAAGAAATAGTGTTTTTGACCACGTGTTCTGAGTTTATGCAGTTACTTCAAGGGGAGCTTGCCTAGAGTAATAGATAGCTTGTTTTTTAGATATATCTTAGATTATATTCTTCTGTTTTCTTCCTCTAGAACTTATAATGGTTCTGTTCAAGTAGAAATAATGTAAATCCAGTCCAGAAACTGATCAGAAAAGCTGGAAAGTCAGTTTCTCTTAATGCAGAAATACCAATTGTGTATAGCATTTAACCCTCTAAAATTTCTTAGGAATTTGAATACTCTTGACTTTCACACTGTTTTAGAGTATGTGTATTCATACTCATTTCTACTTTCTACCTATATTTATAGAAATTTAGTAATCTGTGTTTCTTGTCAAGCTAGTAACTTGACAGATTTCATTTCAAAACAAAAACTATAAATTGGTTTCTGTTGGTGTTTTTTTATTAAGACACAGGGCAAAAACAGTATATTAAGAAAATACTGATTTTGTTGTTATTAAATGACTGATCTTAGTTTGTTTTATACTAAAGAGAATTATCACTAAACAGTTTGTGAAGAGGCACAAAAATTTACAGAAGAAAACCAAATCATCCTGAATCACAATCCTCAAGAATAACTATTAGTAACATTTGCGTTGTCTTTTTTCAAACGACCACACCTGTTCTTTTCTCTCACATAACTATAATTGTATTGCAAATACAGTTCTTTGTCAAGCTTGAATCAGCACAGAGTAAATATGCCATTCATAATTTTTATTGACATTCTCTCATTCACATATAATCATTTACCATAATTTATCATTTTAATATCTCAGCTTTATTATTGTGAAGCTGTGGCACATAAGTGAATACTTTGGGCTGTGATTTAATCCAATATCTATATGTATTATTAACTCTCAGAAAACACTGATTTGTTTCTTATCATATCCGTATGTTGGATAGGATGACACACACTTTAGATTTCTGTTTTGGCGGTAGAAGTCTTTGTCATATTTTTTGCATATTATTTTACTTATTGTAGATCTTAAGAAGCCATTTACCTTTTTCTTCCACGTATCAAGGTCTTTCAAGGCTAACATTACTTACTCAAGAGCTAGGCCTGAATTTGCTAGTCCAGAAATTTTTTTTAAATGGCAAAAATAATTTCTCTTGCCTTAAAAGAGTCTTTATAAATACCCTTTTTTTAAGGGTTGAGTAATGATCCATCATGGAAATGCTCTACATATAAATAAATTATCCTAATGTAGAAAATGAATTTCTTCTGTTTTTGCTAGTATAAATCCGGGTATACGTAATTTTTTTTTTGTCAGTCTTTCTCTGCATTTCTGATGAATTCCTTAAAACAAGGTTCCTTCCAGTGGTATGACTGTTCCCACACATATATGGTAAGGCTCTGGAGACCAGTTACTACTAATTGCTGTGCACTTTACTCGAAGTTATGATGCTCTACATTTATCAGAATAAACTGTGCTCCACAGGGTTTTCAGTGGCTGAGCTGTTCAAGTTGACATGTAGGTGTTTTACAGAGGCACTGCTTCATGAACTCATGTTTGATCTTCCAGTTGCAGCTGAGTATGCATTCAAGCTTGCTTTTTTAATTTTTTTTTAAATTTTATTATTTTTTGCATGTGTACCGTCAAATCAGACCTGACTGGTACAGGAAGAGATTGCTCCTCCTTCTACAGCAGAGCATCTGGTGGATCCGAACCACATATCTCTGGGATTGTAGTGTAGACCACCAGAGCTCCCTTGCATTCAAGCTTTCAAGCTCTGCATGCCTACTGTCAGCCAGTTTTTGGAACAACTATATGATCTTTTGGCATAAGTGTTCACTATATAAGTATTGAGTCATTGGGTTTTTAAAAAAAATTTATTATTTTACAGTTATTCATTGTTGCATGTTTTCTACCACCGCCCCTGGGCTCACACCATAATGCACTCCCCTTGTTCCAGATTGTTGTCACACATATAATGCTCAGTCATACATTCCTTCTGGACAGTTTCCACACTCACTGTTCCATCACAGCATTCATTATCCATCCACTCTCTGCAACCCCCCATGCCTGCCCTATTATAACAGCAGTGTTATGCAGTATTTGTCCTTTTCTGACTGAGATATTTCATATAATGTGAACATAATGTCCTCCAAGATTATCCGTGTTGTGTAAGGTGTTGTATAATGATACCATTATATGAATGTACCGTAGTTTTTCTGTCCATTTGTTGATGGGCAATTGGATTGCTTCCATCTCTTTGCTATTGTGATTACTACAACAGTAAACATGGGTGTGCATTCATCTGTTTGAATCATAACTGGTTTCTTTAAGGGTATTTTCCCACTAGTGTAATAGCTGGGTCAAATGGTATTTATTTCCAACCTTTTGAGAAAGCACTATAATGCACCTTCCATAATAACTATCATTTTACATTCACATCAGCAGTAAATAAAAATTACAGTTGTTCCATGACCTTGCCAGCATTTGTTGTTTGCTGCCCTGTTGAACTTTGCTATTGTGGCTGGAGTGAGATGATATCTCACAGTTGTTTTTATAGAAATTGTTTTTAATTGCAACATTTGTTATTTTAATATTATGTTGTTTCTCACATGCTCTAAGGATTTAGTTACATTGAGTAATAATACTTAACAATCTAAACTAAACCAAGGCTTTTTGATTAGTATAGAGGCTTTGGTCTAATGGTAACACAATAAGATTTTAAAATCCTCTGTACAAGATATAAGAAATCCCTCTAGTTCCTGATCTGCCCTTCTCCGTTATTTCTAACTTAATTTTTTTTCTTTTAAAGTGATATTTCTTGAAATTGAAACACAATTCTGTGCTTCCTAGGAAGTTTATCAAAAGAACAGACACATGTTCTTACTTTTACTCCATTTTCTCTATAGAGAAATTAAATGTTAGATTATAATCAGTGATTCTGTTTTATTATTATTCTCTTTTCAATAGATCATACAAGCAGCATTTATTATTCATTTGTTTTTATTAGATGAGACAAATAGGAGTTGCACAGGTACGATCTACTGGAATTCCTAATGGGCCAGCAGATGACCTATCTCTGCCTACAAACTCTGTCTCTGGTCAGCAGCCACAGCTTGCTCTGACCAGAGTGCCTAGTGTCTCTCAACCTGGAGTCCGTCCTGCCTGCCCTCGACAACCTTTGGCAAATGGACCCTTTTCTGCAGGCCATATTTCCTGTAGCACATCTAGAACACTGGGAATTACAGACAGTATTTTGATAGGCAATAATCACTTAATGAGAAGTGGAAATAATGGAAATGTGCCTTACCTGCAACTGAACTCTCTCACTCTACCTCATAACCGCACAAACCTGACCAATAACACAGAGGAGCCGTGGGAAAACCAGCTTTCTGTCTCCACTCAGGTAATGTAATGACTGATTGCCTTATTACTTTTCTCTTATCATTTGTCCTTATTTGGTTTAATGAGCAATTGTTTAAGAATTTTATGCATGGTACAATGCTGTATTCTGCTTCAGTATGTATGCATATAAATGTCATTTTTCTACTGTAATATTTATACAAAGAAAAGTTCTTGCAAATCTTCAAAAGAAGAAGGAAATAAATCATGCTGTTCCTACCAAATCCACTATTCATTTTCAACTTTAAACAATTTATATAATGGTACTTAATTTCTGTATCTGGCTACTTAAGGTCACATAGTATGCTAGGTTTTGATTAGTCCTTCTGTTGTTGTTGTTATGTACTATCAAGTCGCCTGTGACCCATTGCGACCCTATATTCAATAGCCTTAAACTGAGCTCTGTCCTCTGCCAATCTTACTGTCTCTTACACACCTACCCCCGTTACCCCAGCCACTGAATCAATTCAACTCATCGAGGGTCATCCTCTCTTGTGCTGGCCCTCCACCCTCCCAAGCATGATGTCGCTCTCCAAGGACTGGTCCCTCCTTGCAGCATATCCAAAGTATGTCAGACAAAGCTTCAGAATCCTTGAATCCAAGGATTATTGGCTCGTGATTGTGAAGCCAAGCAAACTAAAGCTGTTAACAATCTCAATGGCTTTACCATCTAGCATGATGCTGCCAGTCAGCCCATTAGTGAGAATCTTTGTGGTTTTTTTTCTTTTCTTTTTATTTATTTATTTTTTTAGAATCTTTGTTTTCTTGATGTTGAGCTTCAATCCATATTGAAGGCTGCATTCCTTGACCTTCTGCAGCAAGCACTTTAGGTCCTCCTCAGTTTCAGGAAGCAGGGTTGTGTCATCAGCCTAACGCAGATTGTTGTTGAATCTTCAATCTTGATACCACATTTTCCTCATAGAGCCCAGCCTCCCAGATAATCTGTTCTGCATATAGATTGAAAGGTATGGAGATAGGACACATTCCTGGCATACATCCTTCCCAATTTTGAACCATGCAGTGTTTCCCTGCTGTGTTCTGATGACTGCCTCCTGGTCCAAGTATAAATTTCACATAAGCATAATCAAGTAAGTGTTCTGATGACTGCCTGCTGGTCCAAGTATAAATTTCGCGTAAGTATAATCAAGTAAGTGTTCTGGAATTCCCGTGCTTCTCAGAGTCAGCCACAGTTTGTTGTGGTCCACAGAGTCAAATGCCTTTGCATAGTCAATAAAACATAGATAGACATTCCTCTGGTACTCTCTGCTTTCATCCAAGATCCATCTAACATTGGTTATAATATCCCTAGTATCATGGGTCATCTAAACCCAGCCTGAATATCTGATAGTTCTCTGGTGCTATGCTTTTCCAGTTGATTTTGCATAATCTTCAAGCAGAATCCTTCTAGTGGAGAAAAAGGATCAGTGAAATAAAGTTACTATAAATTACTATAAAATGTGACTTTGGTGGAAAACTGCCAAAGAGGATTAGGTGAGCATACATTAGAGTCTCCAGAAATGGAAGAACTTGAAAGAGGAAAGGCTAGTAAAGTGTGTGCATATAGTATAGATTTTGTAGAGTACCCATTATAAAGAGAGTATAACAAGAGGGTAAAAATAAGAGCCTAATTTGTCTTGAAGGCAAAGTGGAACTGTTAAATATTTTGAAACACAGGAAAGGATTTCATAAATATTATTTTCACTAAAATATGCCTTATTTAATTTTCTCCTATTTTTAGACTTTTATTTCTGAATATTTATGTGCATAGTTTTGCTTTTGGTGTGTTAACTTTTTAAACTTTGGTCAGGAGGTAGATGGCAGAAAGGATGGTAGTATTTCCTTGGTGTGGATGTTCTGAAGTAGAACTAAAGGGTAGAAAGTATTTTTAAAAAGTTCTCAAAACATTATCTAATTATTTGTAATTTTGTAAACCTGTTCTGTTGTTGATGATCTAAAAATACTTTATTTCTGGTTAGCCTTTAATTATACAGAAATCAAGGAAGATCTTTTTCTGAGACTTCTAAATGTATTCTTGAAATACTAACATTTTAGATAGTAGAGAGATGATTAGTTTATTTCATTGTTAAAGAATTATTGAACACCTACTCTCTACACCACTAATTAGAGGCTCTGAAGATAATATCAGCAAAGACAACATCAACATTTTCAACATTAACATTTTCAACATTTTGTGATAAAATTTTAAGAAATACCTATAGAATAGTAGGGGAGCTCTGGTGGCCTAGTGGCGAGAAGCTGCACTGCAATCCCAGAGGCCAAATCCACCAGATGCTCTGCCAGGGAAGGAGGGATAATCTCCTCCTGTACCAGTCAGATCCGATTTGATGGTACACAAACACAAAATAATAAATAATAAAATTTTTAAAAATACCTATAGAATAGTAAATTATTATATGATGTGAAGAGGGTATAAATAATGAAGTTAAGAGGGAAAATCTGTTTTAAAAGAAATGTTCACAGCAAGAACAGTTGAGAGGGGCTGCATTATTTCTGTTCATTGTCTTTAAACATTAAATAATTGTTAGGAGAACAATGTAAGATTTTTGTTGACATGTCAATTACAGTGCTGAGGTAAAATTTATGTTAAAATAAGTGAGCCTTTGTTGAGAATTTAAAGTATAATTCTCTTATTTCCTTTGTCTTTATCATATCTAGTTCCTTAGTTGCTGAAAGTTTCAATATATATTCTTTTAATACTATTTTGAAAATTAACTACCCATTTGACACATAATTCTAGTTCGACAACCTTCCAGGTCACTTCCACTGCTAACAAGTTATTTCCAACTCATCAGATTTCTGGGGCCATAACATCTTTATAAGAGTAGTCTCTCCATCTTTCTCCTGCTTAGTAGCCGATGAATTCACCCTTCTGACCTGATAGTTATATCCCATATAATTTATAGCCTCCAGAAACTTGCTCTAGAATTAGCTTTGAGTCAGTTCTGACTCAGTGACCATGAATGAGTGAGTGCAAACTTGTGATATTCATAAACATTTGTGTTTGTGTGCACATATTCTTTCTCTCTCTCTTTGTATTTCTCTCTCTCACACATAAACACAGAGAAGTTGCTCATGTAAATTGCAGATCTTTTCATCAGGTGTCAGGGTAGAGGCTTGTATAGTTGCAAAGGCTGACAAACTAAAAATGTACCTACTATTGGCCAACAGTATTGAGAGACTGGAAAGTTCTTATATTTTTAGGTATAATTTCCAGGTATTGGTTCACACTCAAGAAACATAGACAAGTTGGTTTCAGACTCGAAAGAGATGATGCTTTACCACCATATTTCAAGGAAGGAAACTTCTCTTTCAATTCACCGTCTGCTCACACCATACCACAAGATGACTATTATGTAATATCTGTCCTACCCACTGAGAATTCTTGCCAAGTTTACACATAATCCTAACCATCACACTATCTGATCCCTAAAACTAGAGAGCATCTACCTCTGGTACTAAAATTACATAGTGGTAGTTGATTGTGTTCAATTTCATTCAAAGTCATATAACCCTATGTGTATCACAGTAGTAATAAACTCTGTTGGCATTTTTTATAACTGCCTTTTTTTATAATTAGAGCCTCACCTTTCTCTCTGGAGTTGACTCTGGGAGAATGCAGTCTTTCAACCTTTCATTTTGCAGCCTAGCATGTTAACTGTTCTTACCTAAGAACTGCCATTAAAATGATTTTTCTATACTGTCTTATACAAATCTATTTATATATTTTTCTTAGAAACTCTGTAATTGATATATCTATATGGAATCATTTTTTAACCTTTAATGATGGAAGTATGGCTTTGTATTACATTACAGTTTTGAGCTTATTCAGAACTTGGTAAGATTGAAAAATACAAGTACACAAATTTATGACTTAACGTATTGTATACTTACAGATAAAGTTATCAACTTGATAAATAAAATTTGATTCATAAACCTAGAATATTTTTAAATAATTTTTTAAATATATATTTATTATATATAGGAAAGTTTTCATATAACTTGTAACATTACTGTGACTTAACTTTTAGTTGCTTAATCATTTAAGATCTAATTGTACTTTACATTCTCAATGATGTGTATTAACTTTTAATGTATCTGGTTTGTAGGCATGTAAGTTTCTTGGTTATTGTTCTTAAGATGTTTTCAACTTCAGAAATTTATTTTAGTACCTGCTGATGGATTTTTAACTAGATTATTAAATGCAGCTCTTTCTATAAATTTGTCACTAAAATTTTACTTCATTAGTGGCTAATTAAATTTTACCTAAAAGATAAAAAACTCCCCCCCCCCAATTGAAGCATTTTATTTGCACTGTTTATTACATCTCTAGAAAAAGAATCCCAGGATTTTTCCTCCTGTGTGTTTTCGTCTTGCTTCCTCGTGGTCCATGATGCCAGCTGAGGTTGTCAGTACAATGAAAACAAACTGACGGGACGGGAGCAGATTATTCTGCCACTTTTCTAGATCTTTGAGCTGCATATCAAATCTGGGGCGGATAATACCGTTTCACCTGCCTGTGAGGTTGACAACAATTTCCCCTGCTCTGTGATCATCAGTGATTTCAAATTCGCCAATGTAGCCATGCTTCATCATCATGGTCAGGAACCGAACGATGACTTTGGAGCACGGCCTGATGAGAACCTGGTGCTTGCCTCTCTTCTCGGCATTGTTGATGCTCTTGAGCGTGTTGTGGCCAGGACGTTCATACGCACCATTGTGGCGGCACGGAAAGATGGTGGAAAGAGCAAGATAAACAACTTTTAAACTTTGTTACTGAACTAATTTTTAACTCAAAATTCTATAATTTTAGTGTAAATGAAAGGGGATTCCATATATTTTTGAGAAACGAAATTAAAACTGTATCAATATCTACATAAGTTACTGGTTTTGATATTCTGAAATTGCAATTATTTGCAAAAAAAAAATTATTTCTTTAATTCTAAGGTTAATATTAATTCCAAAAATTTTAAATTGCCATCAAGTCAGTATCGATTCATAACTCACTCTCTTGTGGGTTTCTGAGACTGTAAATTACATTGGGAGGAGTTTGCTAGTCTTCTGCAGAGCTGCTGGTAGATTCAAACTACCAGAAAGATGTGACCTGAAACTGTAGACCATCCCACCAGAACTCCCTTAATCATTTATATTAATATAAAGTGTTCATAAACCATTGAGTTGCCTTTTGTTGATATGCAGTCATAGTTTTATATTATTAATAATATACTTATTTATATTTGGTTTTCAACTTAAAACTATAAAATTCTCAATGTAAATAAAGTAATTTATGTCAACTAATAATGAACTCATATCATCAGGAAGAAAAATCTCTTACCAGATGTCATATAGTAATAGGAGACTTTGAACAAAATATCTTATACAATGAGATATTTATTTTTTTTATTAAAATTTTTAGTTTATACTGGTTACTTACGAAGTTCATATATATTGTTTTTCACACAGAATTTTGTTTATTTTTATTGGCTTTGCTTTTCTTTAATATTTAAAATTCTGTGTATGTACTCTGAGTTTGGTTAATTTAGATTTAAATCAATTTTCTTTCTCTTTAGGGGCTTCACAAAAGTCAGAGTTCACATTTGGCAGGTCCTAAGGGTGAACGACCTCTCTCTTCCACTGGGCCCTCCCAGCATCTCCAGGCAACTGGCTCTGGCAGTCAGAATCTGAATGGATATCCCACCTTGCCTAGCAATTCAGTGACACAGGGGGCTTCTCTTGGTCACCTCTCCTCTCATACTGCTACCTCAGGTGGACAAGGCATTACCTTAACCAAAGAGATCAAGCCTTCAGGAAATACATCTATAGTGCCTGAAATAAACAGGCACACTGGAGAGACACCTAACAGCGTTACCAGTGTCGAAGAACTTCCTAATCATGTCCATCAGGTCATGGCAGATGCTGTTTCCAGTTCCAGTTGTGGAGCTTCTAAGTCACCAGGTTTACTAAGTTCAGACAATCCTCAGCTTTCTGCCTTGTTGATGGGAAAAGCCAATAACAATGTGGGTACTGGAGCCTGTGACAAAATCAATAACATCCATCCAGCTCTTCATACAAAGACTGATAATTCTGTTGACTCTTCACCATCCTCAGCTATTTCTACAGCAACACCATCTCCAAAGTCCACTGAGCAGACAACCACAAACAGTGTTACCAGCCTTAACAGCCCTCATAGTGGGCTACACACCATGAATGGGGAAGGAATGGAAGAATCTCAGAGTCCCATGAAAACAGATCTCCTTCTGATTAACCACAAAACTAGTCCTCAGATCATACCTTCAATGTCTGTGTCCATATATCCCAGTTCAGCAGAAGTTTTGAAAGCGTGCAGGTTAGTGTGGGCAGTTTCATCACAAAAGTAAATGGTTGACCATTGTGATCAGAATGTTGAAATATAATACTATATTTTGCAAAATAGAGGAAATAAATAAGCAAAACATCATAGGTGCGCTTAATTGAAATAACAATCTGAGACCACTTTATTATGTTTGAATGTTGTAGTCATATTTGTTAATGTGGAAAGTATCCCCGTAAATTTTGTAATCTTAGTGGCAGTGTGGTATTACTGTCCTCTGCTGGTTACTAGAGTTTTCAACGTCACTGTGAAACAGAATGGGTTAAATTATATATGGCACAAAATATCAGAAGCTTGGAAAACATTTATTTTGATCAGATTTGAATAGGAATGGAGTTCAATAATTATGAATAATTATTTTCCCTCCAATTGAGATAGCACGACATCTGTGTTTGAATCTAGAAGAGGTTGTAAAGCATGCAGTACAGAAAGAAATTGTAGTCAACTTGACTGTACCTAATAATAACAGAAGGAGCTCTGGTGGCTTAGTGTTAATGAGTTGTGCTGTCCACTGAAAGCAGTCATTTTTACTAAGAGGAAATTTGTTGTTATTTAAAGCATTGAACTTTTTTTATTATTATTTATTCATTTGACAATATTGAGTTTTAGT